TGTAAAACTAATAAGTGTCACTTTTTGTGATTAAAATGAGAAAATATCAAACGAATTGAAACAATTAATTCCGTTTCTGTCAATTGATCCGAGAATTGTTTATTCGCTTGAAAGCTTTATTTCCTCATTATAAATTACCTATTCATTAATGGGTTTTAATAAGGACTAATCGAAACGAAAACCTTGAAATATAGTTTATTTTTGCATCAGTAATTAATAACTTATAATTGGAAATGTTTTGTACACTTGTAGGCTTTAATTACAAATTGTGGTAGACCATTGGAGCAGGCACAGTCGATAAATTCCATACTTTTTTTAAGTCGTTCCTTCGAATAATAATAAAAAAGTAGCTTTTCACGATCATTGATGCGACAGTACCTAATTTAGTAATACCCACAAAGAACTTTAGAAAGTTATATTTTTACGCCATCTTGGATTACATGTAGTTAAAGTCAATAAGTGCAAGGGTACCTCTTTTGTGACTAATTTCTCCTTATTGATTTAGAACTACATGTATGACTATTATATGATTTAAGAAATTTGATTTGTGAATGCATGTCTAATAGAGATAATAAGTAATCAATGCAGAACTCAAAACCATGCAAAAAATTGGCGGAAAAGTCTGTGGGCTGAAAACTAATAGTCATTTGCGTGTAGAATGAAAACAAAAGCAAATAGGAAGATCAGGAAAAAAGTACACTGCAGTGTACTTTTTAAGCTTCAAACCTGTATATACTTGTACTTAGTCACTGCTGAATAAGTTCTTTTGACTTCATTCGAATCCAGGAGTTGATAGCTACCTTCACCTCACAATAATGTCCGAGTTGTAATGATTTCCCTTGGCGTTTTTCTTGAGTAGAGAAAAAAAGATGAAAATCGTAGGGGGCACGATCGAGTGAAGGGGGATAAAGAGGGTGTACAAAAGGTTCAAACTTCGAAGTGGTGTATGGACGTGCGTTATCATTTTGCAAAATTAGTGGAACTAGGCTGTATATAAAAATGCTTCCACGTCTTAGCCATTATCAAAATGATGTTCTTCTTTGAGTGGCTCAAACATGTAATAGTAACAAGACGACAAATCTGGGCTATAGGGCGAAAATGGATAGTTTTCTTGAGATAATACATCTGGATTTGATCGAGTTGGATCGTGGAGAACAATCACACTTTTGATGGACAAATCTTGCATCTTCTACCAAAAAACATACACTATTCTTAAAGGAAATCAGTAAGAAGTATGCTTATTTAACCCTAAAAAACGGTCCTGCAAAATGATGAGTCTTTAGCTTTTCTAAAAGAGGCTTCCAAATATATAATATACCGCCTTTGCTCATCCCTAAGTGCACTTACAATTTTATGGAACCATTCAAACGTAGCATGTTTTATATTAAAAAAAAACTTTGGCCAACGCTGCAGCCTCCTTTGAAGAATTGTGAGAATTAGTGGGTAGTAGTTCGGGTGAGAAAGATAAGACGGACGAAATGAAGACAGAAGAGAATGAAAGATTATTTGTGAAATATTACTGCCCCAGCATTTGTCTAAGTGATCCAAGGAAACCACAGAAGTACTTGGACCAAGGCAGACGGGCCCGGAATCGAACCGGCGTCCATCGGAATGCTAAGCTAAACCTCAAGGCTCTAGGCCGCGCCGGTCGATACGTTTTATATTGTTATGTATCTATGCATACAAAGGTCAAAATAGTTTGAAAATTTTTAGAAGGGTGTATTCGAACTAATTCCACTACTCTGTTTTATCGAAATATATGGGAGATTCGCATTGTACAACATTTTTGTTGAATTTCAACTGCAAAGATAAATTCAATAAGGGTTCTTGTCCCTTAACATTCTCACTAAATAAAATTTAGGCCATCCTCTTTATTCTAATCCTATTTCTGTGGATGTTAGCCATTCGACAAAATGAGCTTATAAACCTTCTGAAACTTTTATTACTTCAGTTACCACTTTAGATGACTCAGAGTTTAGCTGTTAAAGGCAAGGAAGTTAAAAGTACAGAAAAATGTTATTAAAGCAAAGAAGATCTTTTGTAATTACAATAATCGGTTAAATAAAGTAAAATACGCTTAGGCCAGTTTAGTAATTATACAAACCGGTATATAAAATTACCGAATGATTCATTAGAATTGGAAAGTAAAAATGGGAATTTAANGGAAGGTATTTTTTAATGGTATATTCAAAGATTTTTTCTAATACAAATAAGTAAAAATGAAAGAGAGCATTATTGTTTTTACTGTTTTGTATTCTATTAAGGGTTTTCTACTAATTCTTTAGAGTGCAACATATACTTATCTGAAAAGAGGCCATCAAACGCAAATCGATTGAAATATTATACTTGACAGTTAACATTAAAATTTAATATATAAAGTGTTATTTTTATACGTAGGTAATTACTTGTAACGACCTATACGGGCACATTTACGTAAGTTATAGATATTTTTATACCCTCTATTGTATGCGGGCACAATAACAGGATTCCTTCTTAAACAAGATATAATGAAACCGGAAAGGCAAATTATGACAAATGGCAATTATTGTATAATATGTTATAATATGTAAATGTAACATGTAGGTAAATATAAAAAAATTGTATAAAAATGGTGTTCGTGTTATTGCCTACAGGAAGCCTACATGTTTTTTTGCGGTTTAAGTTACAAATTAACTAGTGTATTATTACGCAAGTAAATAATGTGCAAGTAGCTAATACTTAATAGCAATTCCGAAGTATACATTGTGTTTGCATACAGGTCGCATGTCCCAGGTTCATGTAGGTAGGTACCTAGGGTATATAAAAATCTCGATATTTAAAAAAGAGCGTGAAACAACCTAGGGTATCCCTCACGCGTGCATAATTAAAATGTGCACCATAAGAATACGTTTTTTCTTTGTGAATTTTTTGCTCGAAAAAGTTCTTGCGGACAAGCATTTCGCAAGTATTGTGTATGCATTAGGTAGGTACTAGTGGTCTAGTTTTTCCTTTGGTTTACAGGAAATTACAGGCCTGACGCTGGAACCTGGAGAACGGTCGCGCAGGTACTTGCCCATTTATGACCTATTTGGGTAAGTCACTCGGAACCGATACACAAATAAGCTTTCAGATATTTATTTTAAATATTTAATCTACGCCGATGATAGGAATAGTGAAGAATGAGGGCTGCAATTATTACACCTAAAACTGCCTACTTTTAATTTTAAAATTTCCGCCAGCTTCCAGCGTCAGGCCTGTATTCGAAAACTGTGAAGAAATTATTAAGTATAACTGCAATTGTAAATACTTTGTTGTCCAAGGAGAAAATGCCAAGCGATTTAAAAATGAGTCTTATACTGTTCCAATACCAAAGATAATCAACTCAAAATCTCTCGATGGTAAAATCCTCGAAAAATTGTGTGCCAGCAACTGAGAAAGCATTGTGAGCAAAGCTACATATTTTTTAACGGACAAACAGCTTTTATAGAAGACCATTCATGTAAGTTTGCGAATCATGGAGAGAGGACATAAGCGAATGCCAAGTGATAGAAGCGTATCTATAGATTTGCAGCGTGCGTTCGAAACCACTGATCGCGAGATATTATGGTGTTCCGCAGGGCAGTATATTAGGTCCGTTACTGTTTCTTATATATACGTTAATGAAATGTAGGTCTTAAGACAGTTGTTAATTTATTTGTGGAAATGTTTAATATATTTATTAAATAAAGAGCTCAAAATAAGTACTTTATAACTGATTATGTCAGAATAAACTTAAAATTAAGTTTAACGAAAACAAAGTGCATGTTGTTTGGCTTTAGAGCAAATTGTACGAAGTAGGCACGCAAATCTAGGTTTAAGCAAATGACTATTGTTGAAATAAATTTTGTGTCAGAAACTACTTGATAGGAGCCGTTTAAAATTATTCGAAATATGATTTGTTAGGTGTTTAAAAATTGACCACAAAATAGTATTTTTCCTAGAGTTCCTAAATATCTACTGTAATGGACAAAACTAATTGTATCTAGGTATTAAAAAAAATATTTTATGAAGACGAGAGTCCAGGGTTGCAACCCTCAGATGAAACCATTATGTTAATGTTTCACATGGTTAGTTAGTGTTTATTTGCCTTTTAAAATTCGATTCTCATAACAACTGTTTCCTAAGGGCAATGAAAATTATTCAGCCAGCAATCTTCACTCTAATGAGCTGAAAATTCAATGTAAACGAACGATTATTTAAAATGACAGTAACGAGGCCGATGATAAATATCGACGATCATAAACTCCGCCTCAACGAACCGCCTTTCTTGGTGGTTCAGCCCAGGTAGCACCCACTTACCTGACCGTGGCGCACCTTCTTGCCTTGATTGCTGTTCCTGTATTCAAGTCAGTTCACCTGAGAAAAATTATCGAACGCTACTACTGTTTACAACAATCGAAGTGTCTCGCGCACTATCAGAAAACTTTTCGCGCACGGGTTTGATTTCTTTAACTGGGTACATTGCACGTGTACTAGGTAACATCTAAAGTTCATTGCACGTGTAGGTGCTACATAGTTTTAACATTTAACTTTAACTATACTATAATCTAATCTTGATTAATTCAAAACTATAAAATGATTCAGTGACTGTGATATTTTCGTGTTGTGAATCAATGACTTTTTCCCGTACTCATGAAACAGTGTGTTCTATTGTAATTGTGGAGGTGTAATATAAAAAAAAATAAGCTATAACTAAATATAAGGCAGTCTCAGAATATTGGCAGGCGATGAAAAGTATTTTAACTGGCATTAAAAAAAATAAACATTAACTTACTTATCAGAAAAATAGTCGTCGGCAATACAANGTAAAAAATATCAAAAAATAATTAGTTTGTATCTATATTTCAACCATGTGACAGACATAGAAACAAAGAATACTTACTCTCAGGATATCTTTGTATAGTTTTAACATTTAACTTTAACTATACTATAATCCAATCTTGATTAATTCAAAACTATAAAATGATTCAGTGACTGTGATATTTTCGTGTTGTGAATCAATGACTTTTTCCCGTACTCATGAAAGAGTGTGTTCTATTGTAATTGTGGAGGTGTAATATAAAAAAAATAAGCTATAACTAAATATAAGGCAGTCTCAGAATATTGGCAGGCGATGAAAAGTATTTTAACTGGCATTAAAAAAAATAAACATTAACTTACTTATCAGAAAAATAGTCGTCGGCAATACAAATGAGTTAAGTAATTAGAATTCTAATTGTTCGTGGGTGTTATCGGTTTTTAGTGTTGTGTGTTTTGAGCATTTATATCGGTAATTAGATGTATATTGTTTTTGGTAATTAGTTACACGTGGAAAATTATCCTGTTTTACATATCTATTAAATTTGGTCTATTTCAAACCGATAAAGAACATTTTTTGAACAACAAAGTTGGCACTTAATACCTATTAGCTTCTTGGAATAGGTATACTTACCACGACCTACTTTGTAAAGAATTTTTTTAACGTGGTACTGAAAAAAAAAACAAACAACTAATTATTTTGTTGTTTATCGCTTTTTTGAACATAAGTTAATAAAAATAATAATGGATGGAAAGTGCGTGGAAATGGATTTGTCAACAAGACCAAGAGAGATGGTTTCACCAGGAGACAACTGTAAGATGAGAGTGGCGAAGTCTGTTTTCTCCATCAGAAGTTTGGTAGATCTGGGTGACAATTCGGAAAAAATGGACGGGGAAGCTGAAGCCGTGCAAAGCAATGGCAAAGGTAAGCCTTATTAGAATCAGGAGCACATCACTTACGACTCAGTAGTAACTACCCCCATGGAAAGTAGGGATGTATTTTCCTGATTGTAATCGATTCGGGAGACAATTTCCACGCGGCAGATGTTAAATTACTTTCCTTAAAAACAGTAAATGCCATTTCTTAAGCCTGGGAGTTTATGTTTCACTTTCTCGTCCTACGGCACCCCTTTCCGGGATTCCGGAAGTATCCCTCCCGTGAGAGCAAGTAACATCCGCGAAGGAATTACGTACTTACTTTCTTCTCTTATGGTGTCTAATATTTTCAATGTTTTATCTGGTGAGAAATTCACTTTCGATTTTAATTCCGTCTTGCAAATGATGAAAACGAAGGCACCCCGATGACTAATTTACCTATCGTATTATCAGTCTTCTGTTACGCTAGAGAAAGAATTAATTTTTTTAGATGCTCACTGTTAATTTAATAGGATATAGATATATTTGTTTTTGTACTATTATATAAACAATTTTATCCATTTTTATCCTGTCTAAATCAATTAGTTAAGTTTTCCGAGGAGACATGAAAGCGACTTTTTTCCTAAAATTTCGCCTAATTTTTAATTACCTTACATTTAAAGAATGAAGTTGATTTTATGCAATTTAAATATACCTACTGACGTATAAAAAGTAAAAATTGATTTTAGTACCTTTTTTGCCTACATGCATAAACTTAAACTAAATAGTTAGAAGATCTGACCAAAATAACGATGTTAATTTTTCCCACTATTTTTTATCGTTCTTGGAGAGAAAATTTAAAAAATGGGACCATCGTTGTGATATAATATATTCCATAAAAAAAGAATAATTAAAATTGGTGAATAAATCGCTCATATACATAAGAAAACACAATCGAATTTGATGAGAACCTTTCGGTCATTTTTCGAAGCCGATTTAGTATCTACAAAAACTTTATGTTTGCGTTTAGTTCATTAAATTACTCTACGATTACTATTTTATAACGTTATAACCCATCAAAGTGCGACACATTGGCTTAAACCATGTAGAAAATAGGTTGTCGCTCAATTGCCCGTTAAAGCAGGGAGGAAAACGCAGCTTTACAGCACGATTCTATGCTGTCCGTCGCCTGACAACAACGGACAGTTCCTCGTCCACTTTTCTGACAAAAATGTAACTGATGTGCTGTGAAAGATGTTTTTATTTTAGTTTAGCTTACATGTAGCAACGACAATTTCACCATGTCCGAAATCAACAGTTTTAGTAGAAATAATAGTATCTAATGGCTGTATTATTAGCAGAAGAAAATGAAAAGAGAAAGAGGAACTTGTAGTTCTACCCCGTTAATCAAAACAGAGAGCGAACTTTCTCTGCTCTGACTGAACTGCAAATTTTAAAAACAGATATACACCCTATTTATACCTATGTGTATATATGAGGTTGTTGTTATTGCTTAGGAATATTTAATTATTTACGAATCACGTAAACTAATTTTTAAATATTTAGCTACCCTTTCTTGAAGGGCTACAAATGGATTTAATGGGGTTCACTATTTTCCCTTATTTCTTGTTTGAAACATTTCCAGAGATTAAATCTAAATTGCTGACATTGTGACAAAATTGTGATTTTATTTATTATATTATACGATGTCAGTTGATATTTTTACGGTAGCGTTATTAATATTCGAGACCCAGAGGGTTACGGTAAGCGTGATCGTGCATTTTCCACAAGTAAATTTTGTAGATGGATTATTTGAGTATGTAAAAGTATAATTGAATTCCACAATATTTTCTAATACAGGTGGTGTTTATCAGGGGCGCAACAACGTTACAAATTGACTGGGTGCTCCAAAAATGACTACAAAAAAAAGGTCAACAATGCATTGTATTGGAAAAATCGAAAAATCGAGTTCGGCTGTTCTCATCATGACTAAATGACCAAAAAAAAGGTCATTTCGACGAGCTGGAACTATTTGAATCGAACTTTCAAGTTGGGTTATTACCTATATTGACTGGAATTGACTGGATGCCCAACCCAATCGAGTGGGTGCCTGGACACCCGCGGACCCCACCCCCTTGTTGCGCCCCTGGTGTTCATAGTCTATTTGTACTTATTCATCGAACACTGTTTAATGGCAGCATACAGGGTGGTCTGTGTTCTGTCGGAAATGTTAACGCCGGGGCTAATTTGATCCAATGGGATCAAAATTACAATCCGTTGAAATCGTAGTCCATTGAAATTATGATCCACATCGGACAGTTTTAAAGGAATATACTAACCATTGAGAACTTTTGGAGTTTACTCCTTAAGAGTCGATTTCATTTGGAACCCTTGGTAAATTTGATGAGTAGTAAAATTGAGCGTTAACAAAAAGCGATATGTTTTAATAAATAAAATTAATGTTAGCGTCGCCCAAGCAGAATATTTCAAAATTAAATAACTTTTCGTAATATAGTTATTTAGGTACCTGACATAGATGACAGCACGTGTACAGTTTTTCAGAAACAAAATGTTATAACTATATAAGCATCATCGTCCTCATAAGGTCGTCAGTCCTAAAACTGGTTGGACCCGTACCTCCACTCTTTCCTATCATGAGCTAATCTTCGCATTTCCCTAAAACTAGAATAACCCACATCCTTAGCTATTTGAGAATAGTAATCTAACTTAGATCTACCTCTACCCCTCCTAACTCCTGTTTCTGCCTGTGTCCTATCAACCTATCTCGCCTATTTTTTATTGACTTCCATAGAGTCCTCTGTTCTTTTATTCTTTCTTCTCTTAATTTCTAATCGTTTCTACCCACGTTATCTCATCATTCGCCTATAACACCACATTTCGAAGGCTTCTAATCTTTTCTTTTCCGCCGCACCCACTGTCCATGTTTCGCACCCGTACAACGCCGCGCTTCAAACACACCTTTAACAATTTTTTTCGAATTTCTAAATTATAAGCATGTGAGAATGATTTTTTGAAGAGGTTAATATTTAATTTTTTAAACAGTAAAGTTAAATTAATTTTCTACCCTCTATAAATTAATTCAAATTAATGAGGAGTCATAATATGTATTGTCTGTAATATCAGTACTCATTCTGCAATACAAATACTATTTATCTTCTTTGCATTTTGTATATCAATCTCACCTAAAACCTGTGCTTGCAGTTAGTTACGTGCTTATCACGTGATCTCAGTTTGAAAGTCGATATTCTCACTAGAAAAGGACGTTGTTGAACATTATTATTAAATCCTACAATAAGTAGCTATTTTCTACGAATAGCCTCTAAAATTATCAGTGTTTCCCTACTATATTATGCATGTATTATACATATAAACCTTCCTCTTGAATCACTCTATCTTTTAAAAAAAACCGCATCAAAATCCGTTGCGTAGTTTTAAAGATTTAAGCATATATAGGGACAGACAGCGGGAAAGCGACTTTGTTTTATACTATGTAGTGATAATTACGTGAAATTTACCTGCCTGTTGCGAAGGTCACGAATAGGTACGTTTGTTTCGTCAGTTGACGCTTTCGATAACGAATGACTATAAGATAATGCGGCTGCAAAACTGTTAACTGCTCTCAACCATTGACGGCTCGTTAACTAGGGTACTTTTTGTATCCTCTCCGTTGTGATGCTATCAAAAGATGCACTCTACAGTGCCTCCAGATGTTACCTTTCAAATATTGCGGAATATTGATCAGCCATATTCTATAGTCTAAACGTTACGTGCAGTACTTAATTGTTTATATTTATCATAGACGTTCAATAATCGGCAATCTTTGCATTTTCTGTCGTGTTAACCTCAGAGTGTTTAGTGCACTACATTATTCAGAGACACCTGCGTTGTCAATTCATACAAAGGATCGGCTTCAAATTGTAAATTATTGTGATTGTCTTATAAATTTTTTTTGCCCTTAACCACGCTGCTGAACTTACCATGCGATTGTTTACTGCATCTAATTTGCACCCTCCAAAGCTTCGCACTTGTTTTGCTGTTACACTATATAGCTCCAGATATTTAAGCTAATAATTTGCATTAAAGTGTAACGTTTTATCACTCAAAAGTAAGGAGCTTATTAGGATGACCTTTTAAACTTAAAACGACAGACAAGGTGCACCTAATACATGAATAGATATTGGAGTAAATTTTATGTTTGTCCATCAAAACAAATCGAATACTTGGCAATTTTGTAAATTATGATTAGAAAAGTTGGTGGATTATCATAATAATCGTAGGTACTTACTTATGTAAACATTTTAGAAACAGTGCTTTAAATAAACAAAATTGCTTTTGGTTGATACCAGGGAAATAATAAGGTGTAAAAGTTATTTTGTGTCGCATACTTCGAAGATTTTCAAAAATGACAATACCTATCATTTTTCAGTCTACATATTTGTTGACTAAGAATTTATTTTGTTGTTTTTGGAATTAGTGAAATATGAAAATTTTGTGGTATTATTATAATTTAAATTCAATTTTTTTCTGGGGGGATCGTATACTATTTGTATCCTTCCGTTATTTTTCAATGTTACGACTGACATAATTATCTTTTCTGTCTTCTTTTTAATACTGTAGTATGATTGGAAGGTATTAAGGGATTTTAAGAAATTTGATAAAGTTAACTAATATGTAAATAAAATATTAACCCATCAAATTTCGTCATTTCTAACCATTTATATCCACGTTACCTTCATCATTCGCTGGTAACACCACATTTCAAATGCTTCTAACCTTTTCTTTTCCGCCGCACTTGAAATATGCACTTTTAACAATCTTTTTAGAATTTCTAAATTAATCGTTGGCGAGAGTGACTTTTTATTGAAGGCGACTCGACCCTGCGGTATCCTTTACTTTATGTCCCTACTACTCTTTACGTCCTGACTTATCTGACTTCCTAGATACCTTAAATCATCCACTTCTTGTAATCGTTCGTCTCCCAAAATTATATTCGCTTTTTTCCTTTCTTTCCTTGCATAGCAGTATTTTTGTTTTGCTGTTGTTTATTTT